AGCGCGTTGATTTAAATAGTTTGTCGAACAATTAATACAATTAACAATTAATTTGATCGGAATTAATATTATCTTCAGTAAATAATCATATTATATTAAAACATAAGCTTATAATAGGTAAGAAATTATTTAGTCTTCATATGCATATTTTATATCGTATTCTAAAATTCGCTCTGAACGCGTTCAAGCATTCAGTAGTTAAGTTTGATCGGAGTTTATATATTCTTCAGTAATTAATCATATTACATTAAAATACAAACGTATAATATAGTAGAAAGTTAAAATTTATTTAGTCTTAATATGCATAATTCGCTCCGTGTTCCAAAATTTGCTCCAAGTGCGTTCACTATTGATCATTTGATTCAAATAATTGTTTCTCACTTGATCACATTTTATTAAACTATAAACCTATAATAGGGTAGAAATTGTGAAATTATTTAGCTTTAACGTGTATAGTCGGCCAGAGACAATTGCAGAGAACTGCAAATACTCGTGAAAACATACAATAAAAGCAATGTAGATGAAAGTAATAAATATTATTATTAAAATTAGATCCACATATAAAACATTTTACACCATTTATTTGAAGTAAATCGGAATATATTTTTACATATAACATAGTTTCCATTTAATTCATAAAGTACATATTTCACTACAAATATTTTTAAGATAACTTCGAATTGCAAAAATAGCGCAAATTAATTGTATTGAAGTATAAAATATTTTATTTCGTTCATGTTTACTTACAAAGCGCATAACAATATTTCTCTCGCCATTTATCCGATGTTAAAATTTTTCACCACATTATTTTGCTGCACAGCACCCTGAATGCGGCAAAACAGTTGCTCGCAACCCTGAAGTCCTTTATGGGGACCAAATTAACAGCACCAACAACAAAAAGCTTTTCTACTGGTATACTGTGAAAGCGACTTTTTATACATCGAGTGGTAAATTTTCGACGCATCGAAGCAAAACATCGTTATTTTCGATGCATCAATGTTTTTTCGACATCCCTACGTGGAGCGCATGCAATACAAAGCATTAAATTTAATTGAAAATAGTCAAACTACATAACATAGAACTAAAATTTCTACAGCGAAAGAACAAATTTGAGATCGATTTTAAGCGGTCGTTATTCATATACCCACATTCATTTATATATTACTAGTCGGCCACGCGCTGAATGTATGCATATGTATGTACATTTACGTATTTGGAAAAAGAAATCATATGTCATCATGTACTTCGTTTGTTATATGCTTAAAAAATTTTGTCTAAATCCATTCAGTAGCGTGGTCAAAATATCTTGCCTTTCCTTTATACTATGTATAAAAGATAGTTAAATAGGTGGCAACCCTACTCAAAGAAATTAAAGTTTTTGTACATGCGAAGGCCATGCACTTTCATTTGGTATCTCCTTTTTATATCCAACGAACGGTGAAGATCTTATAGTTTTTAAACAGGTGGCAACCCTACTCAGAAAAATAATACATTATTACACATCTAGAAGCTAAGTCTTTTCATTTGACAGTGACGGTGCAGAACTGATGCCTACGCTTATTAGGATTGAATATAGTAATATTCTTAACAGATGGCAACCCTATTTAAAAAATAAGACATTAGTGGATTTCTAGAGATCAATCGCTTTCATTTTTTGTAATCCAACGAACGGTGCGGATCTTATAGTTTTTTACACAGGTGGCAACCCTATTAAAATTCTAAATAAAAAGGGTCACTCTCCTATCGATACAGAATATATTAGAGAAAATCTCGTAAAAATCCGTTCAGTAGTTTTCGAGATTACCGCGTACAAAGAATCTCGACTTTCCTTTATACTATGTATAGACTTTTCATATCAATTCAATACATGCGCCCCCCGCTTTTCATTTTCATTCTCATAAATTATTTATAATAGGGGTCGTCATCAAAAGTGATAAACTGCTGATTAACTTGATAAAATGATAAATGAACTGACAAACTTTGTATGGAAATCTATCTAACCAAATTTTATCACTTTATCAAACGATTTTGGTGGATAAACGTATAAATTACAGTAAAATTCAACCCTGACTAACTACTAAGTGGTCGATTTTGCTACGAACACATAAAAAACAAATGAATACAATGAACGAGGTTAGAATGAAACGTAACTAGCCGTACAAGCTAAATAATAAACATTTTTATGCAATTATTTACCAGGGTGTGTTCATGTAAGAATGTGGATAAACTGATAAATTTATCATTTATCCCTTTATCACATTAGATGAGGACTCCTAATAGCGTTTGCTAAAATTTCAGAAGCAAAAGTTATCAAAACAAATTCTATGGAACTGAGAAATATTATTTTCTACATTTTTTTTTAAGTTTTTTTTCAACAATTTTTTTCTTTTTAGTCTTGTCTGTAGAAAATTTTGCAATACATATTAAAATAATTCTAGGATATTAATAGATTGGTACTTACATATATTAATACGGCACTCCCAGCGTGCAAAAACACCTTAAAAGGCTTTCAAACGGTTCAAAACGGCTACTGGAGCTCAAATCAACCAAATGGTGTTAAAATCGTACAAAAGTATCTCGTTTCAGCCTAGTCCCAAACTCAACCTAACTGGTCCCTGACTGGTCTAGACTAGTTACCAACTGGTTCCCAAGTTAGTCCACCAAATTCACCCACTGAGACAAACACCATATCGAGCCCTAACCGCCTAAATAACGTAAGCGACATTTTTTTCAAAATTTTCTTTTTGATGCAGAAATGCATCTAGATGATCTAGGAATATTTCTGCACCAAAAAGAAAATTTTGAAAAAAATGTCGCTTACGTTATTTTGGCGGTTAGGGCTCGATATGTTCGTCTCTGTCCTTCGAAATTTTTTGCTGCGCTATGCGTTACATCTTCGCAAATTTTACCACTACCGAAACCAAATGTGTATACACATCAATAATTCAACGAAATTCTGATACATAAGTATTGTATATTATCAGACTTTAGTTATATTCTCTCTCAACATACGCACATGCATATATGTATGTACATACATACTAATGTTGTGCCGGATAGAGATCTTTCCGGATAACCTGATTCCGGATATCCTGTAAAAAATAAGAGCCGGATTTGGAATCCGATGGGATATCCAGTAGACTGCCGCCCTTAATAAATTTCACAATCTTGTTATATTCGGTTTTTTTTT